TTTTTTTTTTTTTTTTTTTTTTTTTTTTTTTTTTTTTTTTTCTTTTAACGTTTAACCAACGTCCTATTTAGGCCGTTGTTCGAGGTATTTCGACGATTGAAGCGAACTACGCGCACGATTCTTTTTCTCTATTCCCCAGGTTTATTACTATGCTGAACAATCGATATTTACTCTCGCCAGTTCTCAAGAACGAACGAGGATCACTCGTTGCGGTATTAAGACAGAAGCGATTAAAAGCTAGATATACACGCGTTTCAAATGAATCGTGCCACGCGAGGAAAAACGCTTTTTCCATTCCCATAATACTTCCATCGTTAGCACAAACCAAGTTCTTAGACGAGGAATCTCCCTCCGTGCGGCACAATTCGTCTAACGGTAATAAGGCTGTACGCACATCGATATCAAAGAATTTGCAAACTCGACGAACCGATTCAACGAAATACGTAATAATGTCCCTCCAGCAGTCGTGTTTTGTACAACGTCAATGACACGTTAATTTCTAAACTTTCGTCATCGTACAGATTATCGCTGAAACGTTGCAAAAGTATAACCTACGATAAACACAGCGATAAGGTTAGGTTTCGTGTGCGCATTCGCGTTGCGCAATAAGCGATTATAACTCGAACGGAGGACCAACGAAGGCAACTTTCTGGCAATACAAACTATTTGAACTCGATGTTCGTGCATCGATTAGAACGGTTCAAGTATCGTTAATTCGTACCTCGTGCGTTAGTATTTATTCTTTATGTACATTTCAAGATCGGCAGATGATAATTTTGGTTACTACATAGAACGTTATCCGAAGCTTGAAACTCGTCGAATCCGAACTAAAAATCCGTGTTTGGCATCTTAATTACGCTTTTAAAATCGCATTGTTTGTCCCTCGAGTTGTCGACGACGTTCTTACATTAATCTAATTAGTTGGCGGGGTATTTGAACTCTCTCCCTCTCTCTCGTTCTCTCTTTCGCACCTTACATATCATCATCATCAGTTACATCCCAACAAACGACTAGATCACGATGGTTGGATCTCAACCAGATCCTTAAATGCTACGGAGCTCGTGGTTAAGCTAATTCCGGTTAACGATATATTATTTTATCAAATATAAACCACTTCGCTATCGAATAATGTAATATTACGAATACAGAGATACAAATAGGCAAAAGGCAAAAACGCAAACATAGTTATTATTGATCTCAATTGACGTACATTCATCCCACCTTTTTAGCTGTCCATTTGCGCGTGCGCGTCTTTAGATGGCAAACCAAAAAAGAACATAATAATAATAAGAATAATAAGAATAATTCTGCGAGACACCCCGGGTGCAATTACTCCGTCATAATCTGACTGAGTTCGTGCCGCAACAGCGTTTCAGAAGCAGTGTCCCTGAATACAATACGATTCTCCTCTAATCGAACAGAATTTAACCGAACGCATCTAAAATGTGTAATTACCGCCGAATAATCGTTTCGATACGAGGACACCTGACACGTTTTAAAACAAAAATGTACACATATAAAAGGGACGAGAAAGAATAAAATCGACTTTCTAAATTACAAACGCATAGATCTTTCCAAGTAAAGTGGAACACCGTGTATCATCTTTAAAATCAAATATACATACTCTCGCTACTGCAACCGACTAACGCAAGAAACAAAAAAATATTCACGACGATTTTCTGTGACGAACGCGCCTCTTACCACGTATATTTTGTACCAATAGAACTACGGAACACTGTCGCGTAAGTACACCACCTCTTTCCTCACGACGATTGCACGAAGCTTCCGTAACTAGCGCCGCGTGAACGTCCCTCCATTTTCCACTCCCTCCTTCCACACATAAATAATTCGCAACGCGGAGGAGCTCGCGTCGTTGACGAGTGCACGGTGAGGAACTGGTGCGCGCGCAGGTGATAACCAAAAGCATGGCTGCGTCATCATTGTTGGTCCTCGGGTTCCGTAAAATGGAAAACGTCTATATATAACATATACGTCACGCGCGACATCTTTGCTTCGCATTTCTAACCTCACCGTTCACAGCTCAACCACGCGATCTCTCTCTCTCATAATATTTATTTATTTTTTTTTCTTTTGTAGAACGTCCTCATCCTTTTCCACTGAATAAGTTATTCGGTAATAGAAATAAAGTGTCTCTGTAAATCAGCCTTTCCCGTTTCTAGGGCCGATCGCCAAGGCACGTGTAGCAAGGTATGATCCGAGTTCTTCGCACGTGTGTGAAACAGGAAGAACGACGACTTCGGTTCGTTTAACGGATATACGGTAGGATATGTGTAGAGTATGTCTTTCGACCGCGTCCTTGGACGCAGCACGTCGAGACGGCCTCGCAAACCGCGCGTGGGCTCTTCTGTTTTCCTCCCTTCTTTCTCATCTGCTGGAACCCGATGTCCACGCGAGAGAACCGGGTGATCCTCGCCTGGTGATTTCGCTCGACTCAGACGCTGCAACCGGACGTCACCTCCTCGCTGTTCTGTTGATGAGACCAGCGACACTGGTGGCAGCCTTTCGGTTCCTCAGGGGCGGCGACCACTCCGCCGGATGCCCTCAGACCCTGTTCGAGTTCCAACAACTGGCCCATGAAGTTGAGGTTAGGACTGATGATGGGCCTCGCGTTTTTCACCAGCTTGTACGCTTCTACCATGGACAGGCCCTTATGCCGCATTATGTACGCGATCGCGATCGTCGCGCTGCGCGACACTCCGGCCTGGCAGTGCACTAACACGCTGCTTCCGGCTTTTCGGGCTTCCTCTGTAAAGCGAAAACAAGTCACAGTTAGTTTTAAGTCCTTTGGCGAGGCCACGAGATAATCGCGGACAATTACAGCAGATAGAGAAGCTACTTAAACGCTATTCCAACTGAAGCTACATAGGGTGTCTTAAAACGAACGAGATTCTCGAATCCTAGATGGCGCCACGCGTTTCGGGGCATACTCTAACCTCTCGATACCACCGTTCTCGATATCTTCGGAACATTTGAATATTAAAAAGAAGATTTACGCAATGGTTACTCGAAAATGGTTCCCATCCGAAGCTGCTAACTGCTACTCGACCGGGGAATCGTGGACGGGTAGAGCTAGGATTGGACGCGAGGCGGAGCCAGCATCCGACGGGAGAGCTTCGGTTCTATTCGTTCCAGTCGAGGAAATTCGAAGCGCGTGGGCCCGAGAGAGAAACGGGCCCAGAATCTGAGGGTCATCGACGCTGGGGTCTACGTCATCTGGAATTTCTAGCAGGCGATTTACGAGCGGGGAGCAGCGCTCCAACGGAGGCCGTGCAACTCGGCCGAATGACGCGGGCATCGGCGTCGCTGTAAAACGGCCGAACAGACCCGGCCGTGTAACCCAAACAGGCGATTCGGTTACGTAATGTGGGGGACGCTATCGTATCGCCAATGAGTCATGGCGACGCGCGCCCGTATCTTGTGCGACGTACTACTCGACGTGCCTGCGATCGGCCGGAGGAAAGGAGAGGGTGCATGAGAGCCGCTGCAAGTGCACGTGCGCTCGCACGCGGACTATTCGCGACATCTACACGGAAGAACGATCCGACGGTATTCCATTTTTCCCTATTTTTCTTTTCCTCTTTACGCGGATAATTTTTATCGAATTTTAAAATCAAGAAAATAAAAAAGATAGGTTAGAAAAGATTCGAGTCTCTGAGAAGATAAACTGCTAACGTCCCAAACATCGAACTTCTTTTTAATCTATAACGAACCTACCACGATTTCTAAGCAAAAATCATCTATGTTTTGAAATATTAACGAAAATTTTTGGTAGCCATTACGAATTCTAAATTCCACGCTATTTTTGTTACTTAATAAAATAATAACTCGATTTTTTAAAATGGTTTTTCAGTTTTGCATCTACTAGTCACTTCGTCCAGTTGTCACAAGATTTAATACTCAACTGCGACGAGTTATATTCCATTCAGATTCCCTATTCCTAAAATAGACATTGCTATACTAAGTACGGATCAATCCCCCATATCACGACTCGATCATACTCAGTTACAATCTACCTTTTTCTCACGATCGTGGAAAAATTCGTTCACTGCGATATGGACGTCATACGCCATCGGAACTAACCTCTATACACGGATGATTCCAGGAGGTGCGATTTTGAGAGACGGCCCGAGGCGTCGATTAATGGCTAATCCGAGCGGTGATAAGCAGCGCGACTAATCTTATCTGGTTACGCGTCGGGGGTTAGCGTAATAGAAGTAGTTTAGGTAAGCGTTAGTCGAGACACGGGGGTGCATCGGCCCCTAAACTGGGCGCATGCGCGCCGGCGCGCATTTGCAGCGTGTAGTCTCGCGGGCTGGCATCTGCTATGAGTCACGGGTGACGAATGGCCGGATAGAGACGGAGAAAGCGGGAGAAAATCGCGGAGAAGGGGAGAGTTATAGATAATGGGAGAAAAACGAGAGGCTGGGCCTGGTGGGAGATCGGGAGATCAAAAAGGCGGAAGAGGGTCCACGGAGGAAACGGAAGGGTTGAAACTGTGGCAAAAAAATGGGCGAAGGGTTCGGCGGTTTTGGTTATGGAATATTGCGCGGTATTTTGGTAACAGAAGGCGCGTGTGTACAGACTGACGGAAAGCCACGACACCTGTCGCGATGTCGAAAATGATACCGAGTTCCGGGAAATCCGGTGTACTTGTTGCCTCCGCTCTATTTGCTTTCTCCCCTAAAACGTTCCGTTCCCAGAATGGTTAAAATTAACGGAGCTATCGCGTTCTACGAACCGGCGAATTATGGCCGCGTCCTGTGCAATTTGACACGATCAAACGCGTTTACGGAATTCTATTTGAACCTGCGCGAACGACCGACCTAACCTCTAACTGTAATCCTTGCGCTGTGCTCGCAACGGACGTCAACGATCCGACATAAATCACGCGAGATCTCGTTATTTCACTGTATAAAACCAACGTAGAAACACGTACAAATCATATTACTTTTATTCTACTGCTATCAAGTTATATTTTACTACCATCTACAATACATAGTTTCATTTCGTTTATCACGATATACTCTATTCTTTTAGGTACTATGCTATTCAAGTTCATTCTCTCTATTTGTTCCCTTACTTTCACTATTATTATACTATTTGCTGTACAACAAAGAATTTGTCCCGTATAAACGAATATATTAATAAATTAATCCGATTATATCGAATCACGAAAGAATAAGAACACTATTGTGACCATATACCCTAATTTTACGAAACAACAGCGAAGGGTTAATAGCTGCTATTACTGCGGTAGTCGGTCTACCAATCCTAAATAATTTACTCCGAGGTCCTACAGTCCGTCGAAAATCAACCGGTCACCTCAAGGCCACCGTAGGCCGCCCCTCCCCCCCACCACGCTTATCGTCGGCCGTTCCACCTCTCCCCACCACGTGCGCCCAACGCTGCCGCGATTACATTACCGAGGAACGATGTCGTAAAACGGCGAATAGTATCTTAAACGAGAGTAACGCCATCGTTAAATAAACCCCGACGACCCGTAATCGATACAATTCTCCAATCACGGGCCTTTAAGCGCGCTCCATAGCCAACGATGAAAGAACGCGGTTGTCGATCCTGCGACGGAAAAATTCCCAGCGATGCTCGTCATAGCGGCACGCTCGCTCGTTTTTCCTTCATCAGCGGTGCGCACAGTTTGGTGTAACGGAAACAGGGTGTAACCAGCCGTTTCCGGTGGACCATTCACCGTGTGCGAGGACTAGAAGACGAAAGGCTTCCATTCATGAAACCATGAGTCACTGGCGCGCTCGCGCACGGCAGCAAGCGCGCACCACAACTGCACACCCGTGAATCCCCTTCATGGTGCCCCAGTGTCGGCCTCTCGTCGACTCTCCTGTGTTTATTGCACCGCATTCTGCTCCCTGCGCGCGCCAACGTGTGCGTAACGCGAGACGAGCGTCGGTCACGTGTGTGCGCGGAGCGTGTGCGCACGCGCGCCCGCGCGACACTCGCAACCAGGGCCCTACCGAATGTGCAACTGGTGGAATGCTGTACCTGGCCAACCGACCAACACCGTAGGGACTGTTGCGTGAAATGAAGGGCACCTTGGTGCGTTGACCGTTAAGCCGCTCTTGGACGATGCAGGACAAACAAAGCGACGCGGATCCGAACCCTTTTCCGAGTGGACATTGGGGCATTCGGGCCTCCGCTGTGCAGATTTGGCACGCGTTGCTGAATCGTCCACGAAGGACGAATATTAAATAGAACTTTTCAGCCGGTATACACAAGGACACGCTTATGGAAAAGGACCCTTTGTCACCGATGACAGCGTTATTTTTCGGCCAGGGTGGAGGGGAGGGGAGGGGAGGGGGATTCGCGATCAACAAGGCAGAGAACGAATGACGCGTGTAATTGTAGGGAATGATCGGAACAATGCTCAATTTTATGACCTCTTGCACGTTCTAATTACATCGCCGTGACTATAACTTTAATTTATTCTCTTCTCTACTATGATTAGGGGTTACAGAGCGAGCGGGGTTATGTAATGCTTCCCTAGGCCGGGTATGCGCCGGGATTTCAAATACGCAGCGAGGTTAGGTGGAAAGTTTAACCGGCGCCCCTCACAAAGGATCGAGTCCTTGGTTCCCATGAAGGGAAATAAAGAACGGCTGAAATCCGGACCGTTAGGAAGTTCCTCCACCTTGCCTGGCTCGGACCAGGAACACCGTTTCGTCTTTAAAAATTTTTTCCTCCTTTTTTCCCCATTGAAACCGTCAATTTTTACTATCCCATATGTTCCACCAGGTCTTAAGGGAGAATATATCGTTGCTCTCTCATCACGGACGAATTAGCGCGCGGATGCTTTTGTTCCTCTCGAAAGGGAGAGATGTATCAGAAAAATGGCGGATCGCGATTGGAACGGGGCACAACCTTCGAAACCCGGCCTGAACTGGCGCGGATACAAACGGCAATGACGATCATTGCCTGAGGACACACCCAGTCAACCGAAAGAATTACTCATCGACAGAGGCCAACATCTCTTTGTGAGCGCCCTCCTCATCCTCCCCCTGCTGGCTCTCACGGTGAATTAAACGCAGCCTCCTCGAATGTCGCGTTCTAACCGGCCGACATTTTGCACCGTGAATGCAATTAGGCCAATTTACCCTAACCGGTGATCCTCGTATTTTCGTTGAATCACACGCAACAGGTTCGAAAGAGTCAATGGAGCAGCCACGTTCGTTCGGCCAATGTCAACACGCGTTGCAAACCACTGTGCGTCACCTATTCGCATGGTGCTCCGCGGTTGTTTAATGAATAGAGGCCCGTTTCATTGATCGCGTCGTTGAATCAACATATTTCCCCTAGGATCGAGAGCGCGAGGGAAACCTCTGAGCCGCGAACAGATATCTAACGATCTAGGCGTTGTTGCCCGTAGAAAACCGATTTACTGGACTTTACGACCGCGGATACTCGTCGTAAGATCCAAGTACTCCAGTACTCCGGGAATTTTCATTGCATGGAGGCGGTACCGTTACTCGGGAAGTCTGCTCGGAACGTTTGCTCTAACGTTCGGCATCTCGGATCCATTAGAAAGCAACGAGAGACTCGATCGAGCTCTGGAAATGCTCTCAGAATTATCTAGAATCTTCGTTCCTACACCCGTTCCAACGTTATTACCGAAACCGAACAGTAACCCCGAAGATGTCGCGCTACTGTTATCGACGGTAGGTAAATCCCGCTAGTGTCCCATAAACGCTGCAGTATCAAGAGAGGCCACTCACCGATGAAGTCGAACGCCTCCTCGAAGTACTGTTTAAGGTTTTGGTGGCCAGAATCCGAGGCAGGGATCTGTCTGTACGTGATACCCCTTTCCTCGTGATACCCAGGCAGCTGTGAAGTGACGTTGAGGACCCTGGTGGCACCTAGCGCGCGAAGAAGTTGCAGATCGGCCGCGTCCCTGCCGTTCCCGAGGTACAAGAACGGCAGAACCCTCGAGGCCGGGTGACTATCGATATCCGCAGGTTGGGGAGTCGGTGGTCCAGACAGACTTATTACCGGACAGCCTGGCCCAGGGCTGGAACAACTGCCCACTGTGGACGGACCAGCTGCGACTGCTGGGAGAAGAGTGTCCTCGCAGAGGTCCCTATGCCGCCTGTGGAACTCCTTGTGTCCACCTGAAAGTAAGCGAAAGGGGTCCGTTAGGACACGCCAGTTTTGATTCTGGGGCGCTAAGAGTCGACTGGAAGCCCAACGGGATACCAGGGGCGTGGGAACTGGTCTCGGGGGGAAGCATCGAGTTACTTTGAAAATACCGATACAGCGAGGAGCAGGTGGTGTTCGCTCGATACTGTGATTTTTGTGCGCAGTCTGGTCACACATCTGGGATAGTCGGGTTCGAATTAACGACGAAGAGATCGGGGGCCGACTGGTCGGCCATGTTTGCTCTACGCGAGTCTACGGAAAGAATGGAATAAACGTGAAACGAATGCAGAGGCGGAAGTCATTTCCTGGTATCCTCGAAGCATCCGCTAATTTTAGCCGAGTTGCGGCAGGTTGCGAACAGGACAGGAGAATTTTTTGTCCGTATTAACTTTCGAATAGGTGGCAAATAAAAGCAAGTATTCCACGAAAGGCACGTATAAAAGAGGCGCTCCCACCCCGCCGGCACAATGCCGTGATTCAGTCGCGCCGAATTGTATCCTGGAATTGTGTACACAGCGATTTCTCGAGAAACGCGACGGGCTAATAAACCGTTCCCGTAGCAGGTCCGCCATACTTCCGCGTACTGTATCTAAACCTGTACCCCGCTCGCCGCCGCTGGCGCTGCGAGCACATCGAGCAACTCTCCAGTGCCCCGAGGCTTTCTCGATAAATTTAGCACATTTTTAAAACGCTTAGCAAAGAATCTACCATCTCGTAATCTGGCATGGCCCGTGTGGTTCTCGAAGCCTTATCGAGGTTGCATTATGAATCTTGGATCTTGAAAGTCTTCCGGTCTTAAGAAACGCGGACTGGAAGGCATCGTCGGTGTTCGCCCGAAACTCTAGACACTCGACATATGTACCAGCATTCCGTTAAAAATTTCCGTAAAAACATTTTCCCACTCCCATCCGTCCCCATGTGTCCCCGTCCGTCTCGAGAAATCCTCGACGACCGTCCCCGATATTCGCTAGACGCTCGGCTGCGACCAATGCGGAATATCCTCGCGAGCGACGCGTGTCTGGAAAGCGGAATAGACACGAGGAAAAGCGGGACAGGAGGAAGCGAGATAGGAAACGAGGAACCGCGAATAAACGGCTGGGGTAAAAATAAAGGAACGCCAGCCGCAGAACAGCGAGGGGGGCAAGGAAGAAATGTGGGCTAAAAGTGTCTTCCTCTCCTGACCTGCAGCTCGTAAGGCCTGGCCTGGCTCAACGATGAGTCACTCTTTGCGCCCCCTGCCGTCGCACCGCCACGGCCACCAACCCCGTGTGGCGGCTGGCTACTGTTGTCGCGGCCGATGATTATTCCACAGTCGCCGCAACGAAACTTCCTTTTCGTCAGGGGAGCAACGGGACGCGGGGTCGAAGGGTGGGGAGGGCCCTTCTGCTTCCGGATTTAATTTAATTTCTCGTATTAATACGTATTCCTCTGTTCTACCGCTCCGTACCGTCCTGAGGATGTATATACACATATACGTTTCATGTTGGATCACCCGAAGCGGAATACGACGTCGCGCTAGTGAATTCGACGGTGAGTCGCGATGATGGAAGCGTGTCTTGTCGTTTGCCGCTTAAGGTTCGATTTGACATTAAAATGAGGCGAGCGAGAATTAAGGTTCGGAGATGCGAGCGAAGCGTTATCGACACGCCTGGTGTATAAGTAGACGTAATGCAATTCCGTGACCTAGTCTTAAGGCTCACTGCCGGAAATCGTAAATATAGCGTTGGTCGCGTCCGACGACAACGGACACGTATCGGCGACACGCGTGTACAACGCATGCCTATTCGCGACAGGGGTATTCGTTTATCGTTTCGCCGTTGATTTTTCACCGATTCCTCGTGACCGCTCGGAACATGTAACGGTTTTCGGTTCTAGACTACTATGTAAGCGCGCGCAACTTGTTATACAATCCGTGTATCCTTAACAAAGTGGCACAACTGCGCCGCCTATCGATACCCGCGGGGACATCCTACGCCGGGACTGGTTACCGAAGGAAATCGCAACTTTGAGCGCGATCTATCGCGACGCGATCACGATACATGGTAAAACATACGTCGTGCTACGTGACACAGAGCGTGACGTCACGGGTTCATGTTTTACCATCGCGATACCCGATACATGCGCGCTCCTGGCGACGGCCGAACAGTAATTACGCTTAATAGGTCGCAATTATTAAGAAAAGGGGTACGTGTGTTCCTTTGCAGGGCATTGGCCTGATTTCCAACGAGACTGGTACACACGCGTCATCTCGACCGCTCGCGCGTGCTTTTCTTTTTAGTTTCGGATATTTCCACTGCGTGTACTTTCAGGACACCCTGTATAACACGTCTCTCCGATGAAAGGGTATGCTGGTTCCTTATCTATTTTGCGCAATTATCACCGATTAACCTCTCGCGGGATTAATGGTCTTACAGAAACGACGGATGACGAATGTGGTATCGAGGAACTGTCAAAAGGAATGCCGGTAATGAAGAATTCGATATAACTTTTCGGCGAGTTCGGAAGAT